CGCCGATCGCCGCTTCCCCCTCCCCTCCGGGAGCGATGCGAGGGCGCCGCGTCCTTGGCTGTTGCGCTCCGCGGCGCCCGAGCGTGCCCCCCGGCCCCGTGGTGGTCACAGTCCCCCCGGACGCCGAATAATGGCCTGGGCTCTTGGCCGAGGTTGACCGGACGGATTTTGCCCCATCGTCCCGCCGCCGCCGCCAGAATGGGTTACACAGACCCGACTTTCAACCGGGATTTACTGGGAAACCGAACTTTGCTTTTCATTTTCATCTGCGCCTTCGCCGTGGTCACGCTGCTGCAGCAGATCCTGTACGGGAGAAACTATCTGAAGAGGTAAAGGGAAAGGAAGAACTCTGGCTGCGTTCACATGATCCCTTAAACCTGGTTACTGGATTAACCCATTGTCTGGCTTCACCCAGGACTTCAGCCTCCAGAGAAGGGGCCAAATGGTCCAGGTGGGCACAGCACGAATAACGGACGCATTTCCCAAGATCAGAGGAGGCTCAGATGCGTTTCCTTTGGTACTTGGTCAGTGTTCACCTTGGTTTGTTCTTCTGTAGCAGAGCGTAGGGTGTGAGCCTAGCCATTTGGTTCATGTATGTTGCAGGGTAGGGCCAGGCTGGGGACAGAGCGTCCTGGAGAAAATCCATCTCACTGCGTGGTCTCTCAGGGTCGGCCCTGAACCGATGGCACGCAATCAAAAGGTTTCCATATGTTGCGTGAATCCAGAAAACGGGTTAATTTGGTAACCAAGTTAGACATACCATGTGAACTGTGCTGTAGTATGTGTTGTGGATGTGTCTGAGCTAAACAGAAAGAGGTTGTTAAAGTAAATGTATCTGATTCCTCCCCAAAGTCTTGCTGACAATGCAGACTGATGTAAAAATCATTGAAGACTCTTGTGGCGCCTTACAGGGTGTGCAAAACGTAGAATAGAGAGGCGTCTCATGAAGTGAATCTTCTGTGAAAGCTTTGCCTGTCACAGGCCTGCTAGCCCGGAAGATGCCACAAGAGTCTTCCTCGCTTGATTGCAAGGGGCTAACAGGGTTACGCCCCTGACCCCCAAGGAGCAAGACCCATTTGGTTCAGTAAGAACTGCCCAGGAAGGCTGCAACTTCAGGCATTCAGTGAGAACCCATTTGCAGCAAACGTGGTTCAGCTGTAGCTGCTACTCTCTTTGCACTTACCTTGGAATAAGAAGGGATCAAGGGACTGTTCTCAAACAAACAAACAGAGTAACTGGGTGCCATTGCTGTGTGTAAATAGATACTACAGATCTATCCGGGGAATGAGAGTGATGGATTTCCATTTCTGTGAACCATAGAGAAAATGCCACAGGAGTTCCTGATCTTGCACAATTGCTTTTGACATATAGATCTGGGATAGAAGATAAACATGTCTAGGATTTGATTGTAAGACAGACGTTTCAGGATGTGGAGCCCCAGGTCAGCAGAGGAGCAACTAGAAGCATTTGGGGTAGTAAAAATGAAATCTTCCTTCACTTGAGCTTAACTCCTGGTGGCTATAGGGAACAGTGGTCTCAGATTCAATCCCATTTAGTTGCACTTTTTTCCTTTTTTTTTGAGATAATTAAGTGTTGTGCTGGAAAAACAATTCCTCCTTTTTTCTTTTTTCTTTTGCTACCAGCTCTTATTGCATTGGATAAAAGAATTTGCTTTTGAAATTTTCTTCAGAAGAGAAGAATATTTCAGGAACATTTGTCATGGACAGAGTGGGGTCTTCCTGTGCTGAAGATTCTTTAGAGGGCTACAGAGTATGTGTGAATGTGTATCTTTCTTTGTTAAATCTTCTCTCCCGCAGTCGGTGGTCTCCTGGCCCTCCCATTAAGAAAGGAACCCCTTCCCTGGGCCTTTCTCAAGGAGAGAAGTCCTGGCAGTGACGGAGGCTTCAGTGGGATGGAAAGAGGGGTCAGAGAAACACCGCCCAGAAAAGTTAGGGAAAAAATCTCAGGCAAAGAGAAAGAAAGATGGGGGACATTAGAGTACAGGCAGGTGTTGGCTGTTCTGGAAGCAAATTCTGTGGATTGGATTGAACCAACATCATACACAGGGAGAGGTTGTGCAGAACAAGGTGGAGGCTCTGATCACACTTGGGTCCCATCAAAGACAGTGGAACTTATTTGTGATGAGTAAATGCATTGATGGGAGAGGTGTGATTAGTTCTGGTTGGCTGCATGGACTATGAAATATGGCTTTCCAAGAAACCAGATGAGGGGTTCAGAGCCCCAACCAATCCAATACGGCCTTTTGAAGGATATTCCACTCCACCTCTGTTTCCCACCCTGTTAAGTAAGCCAGCAATCCTTGTCCGACTGAACCATCTCCTTTGACGTTCAGAGGGGGTGGGGGTGGTGGAAGGCGGCTGGTTGCTTGTGCTGGGATTTTCTCATGAAGTTCGTTTTGTTCTTTCATAAGGTCTCCTGAGTTCCCAGGAATCTGCCAAACTCTACCTCTTGGATACATTAGAATGTATACAACAAGTACTATATTATATATGGGAAGATAAGTCTATGGGAGGCTTAAAATAAATTCCTGGGAGATGTCTGTCTGAAGGGATGTTCAAATGGAGCATCTATGGATTGTTGCAGAAATGAGTAGAGGTTCTCAAATCTCGCTATGAGACGGGATGTGGTACGTCTGCTTGTAGCTGGAACCCAAACGCGGTAGTATGTGAACTAGGGGCTAGACCTTGATAAAATGTCAGTCCAGCCATTGTGGCTTAAAATAAACCATGGCTTAGCCTGATGCATCAACCCATCCAGAATGTTGGGCTAAATAGAACTTGGTCTGATCTAGCAAAGAAATACGTTGACTTTCCAAATACCTTTGAAATTAGTGAAAATCCTTCCAGAAAAGCAGCAGCTCACCTCTGGTTTAATGCATCCCCAGAGCTATTCTGGTGGGATTAATGCAGCATCAGTCCCATTGATCTGGCAGTTTCAGTTGCAGGGGACTCGTGTCTGTGCAAACCTCCTTTGGCTCTCTCTGCATATTATCTCTGCAGTTCAGGCCTTGCCTTCCTGGGCGGCAGGAGGAGTGAGGCTGAGGAGTCATAGGGTGGGACAAGGGGACCCCCACCGTTCTGTCTGCTGATGGAGGAAAGATGGTACTGGCGAGAGCCCTGCTTGCCAGAGTTCCTGTACGTGAAGATTATGTCAAATGGAATAAAAGCCAGAATAAAAGGAGGAACCGTTGAAAAACCAACATAATTTTGCTTGGAAAGATTATTGGGAGTGTGTAGTCTTCACTACAAGGTAATGCCAAAGGATGTTGGGGACAGGTCAGAAAAGTCAAGATGGCAGCCACAACCATGCAATCAAAGCCCTACCCCTTTTTTCCTTGCATCATGACATCATGTACCTTGATGGCACAGCAGCAGCTACCATCTTGGCTTTTCTGACCCTCCCCTGTGGATGCCTGTGGTCACAATTTAGTTTTGAATATGGGTCTAGAGTAACTGGTCAAATATTTGTTAAGTTCTAATTAGGAATATAGAGGCCTTCCTTTAAATGAGCTGCAGTTTCCAAACCCTTGTGAAGATCAGCTTCCACACATTACAGGTAGTCCTTGATTTATCATCATTCATTTAGTGATCGTTCAAAGTTATGGCGCTGAAAAAAGTGACATACAACTGGTCCTTGCACTTACTATCGTTTAGGCGTGCCCCACGGTCATGTGATCATGATTTGGGTGCTTGGCAACCATTGTGCATTTACCATGGTTGCAGCGTTCTGCGGTCATGCGACTGCCATTTGCAACCTTTCCAGCCGGTTTCCAACAAACAAAGTCAATGGAGAAGCCGGAAGGGAAGGTCACAAGTTGCGGTCATGTGATGTCTCGCTTAATGACTGCACCGCTTAACGACAAATGTTCTGCTCCCTGTTGTCCTAAGTCAAGGACTACCTGTAATGTGTGAAGCTGATCTTTACAAGGGTTTGGAACTTTTATGCCTTGTGGCAGCCGTGGGAATTCCACTCCCAAGAGATAAATGCCTCTTCACTTCTCTTGTCTCACTTGGAAAAGGAGTCATTTAGGGAACAAATTCTTTTTATTGCAAATTGTTTCTGCTAAGCTATAGTCTGTTTAATCATGGCTGGCTGAATAAACCATTTGCACAATATATAGTAAATCATGAACTAGAAAAGACAAGGACTGTGTTCATGCAATATAGTTACCCTAAACAGAAAGAGAGAGACAGAGACAGACAGACAGCTTGGTGTAGTGGTTAAGCCATTGGGCTAGAATCTGGGAGACCGTGAGTTCTAGTCCTACCTTGGGCACAAAGCCAGTTCGGTGACCTTGGGCCAGTCCCAATCTCTTGGCCCCAGAATGGAGAGGCCAGGGCGCCCCGTATAGAATTTTTGAGTGAAACAGAAAAAAATGAACTTACGGTATATAGTTTCAATGATTAGAAGAAAAAAATAGATTATAGAAACAATGAAAGTCATGCTGAAACTATTGAGTAAGAGGTTAATTTATACAGTGGGGCAAAGAAGTATTTAGTCAGCCACCAACTGTGCAAGTTCTCCCACTTAAAAAGATGAGAGAGGC